GCATCGTTACAAGATGTGTATTTACAAATTGGAGAAATCTTAAACCCTAATAACAAGTAGGAAAAAAAATCATAATCTTTTATCCAACTAAAAATACCCTAATACAAAAATACCAAAAATAGCCTAATATAAATCTAAATCAAATTGCTTACTTTTCAAACAAACCCTAATGACCCTCTAACAAATTCCAATCAATTCTTAGAATCCAATTAAATATAACAAAATCATGATATGATGAGTTGCCACTGGAAAAACCCAGATGATAGATATACATCAACATATTTATGGCATGCATTAGTTATAGGGTACACAACATGTGGCGACTATTTTGGATGCTTGGTAATAATTTCCTATTGTCATTTTCAGAACCATCTAGTGCGGAAATCCAAGAGTACTGTCACTATCCATATAACTTTATACGGAGAACTGGCACTTCCCGTAAACTCTAGATTATGTTCTTCCTTGCTATATATTATAAAGAAATTCAAGAGAACTGTTACTCTCGATGTCGAGTGGTTTTACTACACATAATCTACTTTTCTGCGCACTAATTTAACATGTGACCAATCTGTTGATAAGTTAATAGTTAACAATGTAAGTCCTTCAACAGCACACTACACATTACCCACGAGACACCTTCTCTCCCATCTCTCACCCTATAAATCTGAGGCCCCATTACCTCTTTCGTTCATAACTTTCCTCTGGCTAAAACCTGTGAGTTTGAATATTTGCTAGTGCTATAAAATGTTAGAATCTGTGGTAGTGTACTGGGCATGGGATACGCAGTTTTGGCAGGGGCCTCTGTGTTAGGGGGATATGATCATCCTAGCTACCAAAACTATGCTCAAAAGGAATGCAGCTATACTAGATATCCCAGCTCATGTGTTAAAACCTTGATGGGGTTGGGATTTCTAGGGCATCATGATGATCAACAAGTTGGCATAATGCTGGGTCTGGCTAAAAAGACCGTATCTGAGACCGTGTTGGCCACCTCTGAATATATGTATGAAGGAGCAAAGACTGCCGTAAGAACTCATGAAGGACAAACCGAAAGCTTTCCCATAACTGTAGGATTACATCAAGGCTCATCCTTAAGTCCTTACCTTTTTGCGTTGGTAATGGATGAGTTAACACGACATATTCAAGATGATATTCCTTGGTGTATGCTTTTCGCAGACGATATAGTGTTGATAGATGAAACTCAGGAAGGGGTAAATGCAAAGCTTAACCTTTGGAGAGAAGTGTTGGAATCTAAAGGTCTTCGCCTAAGCCGATCAAAGACAGAATATATGGAGTGCAAGTTCAGTGCAAATGGAGGCCAAAACGAGTTAGGGGTGAGGATCGGAGATCAAGAAATACCAAAGAGCGACCGTTTTCGTTACCTAGGATCTATCTTGCAAAAGAACGGAGAATTAGATGGAGATCTCAACCATAGAATACAAGCTGGATGGATGAAGTGGAAGAGTGCATCCGGCGTGTTGTGTGACCGCCGTATGCCACTGAAGCTCAAGGGAAAATTTTATAGGACGGCAATAAGGCCGGCGATGCTGTATGGCACAGAATGTTGGGCGGTGAAACATCAACACGTACACAAAATGGGTGTAGCGGAGATGAGGATGCTTCGTTGGATGTGTGGGCACACGAGAAAGGATAAGATTAGGAATGAGGATATCCGGGGTAAAGTAGGAGTAGCCGAAATTGAAGGAAAGATGAGAGAAAATCGGTTACGGTGGTTTGGACATGTGCAAAGAAGGCCTACTGACGCTCCGATTAGAAGATGCGACTATGGGACAGAGGTTCAGGGCCGAAGGGGTAGAGGAAGACCTAGGAAAACTTTGGAAGAGACTCTAAGAAAAGACTTAGAGTACTTGGATCTAACGAAGGACATGACACAGGATCGAGCACAATGGCGTTCTAAGATTCATATAGCCGATCCCACTCAGTGACTTGGATTTTCCAAGTCTCCAACCGAGAAGTTTTCCTCACTCGGGAAATTAAGGGAACACTACCCCAACCTACATGCTCCACTCAGAAAGCTTCAACATACAAGCTTCAACAAAAGAAAATTCAAAGAACTTAGCGAAGAAGGCTTTGGTGTATTTAACACAATACGTTGAAATGAAGGAAAGCTTATTTATTGATATCCCCGATAAGCTACAAATATGTACATATACATGAGTCAAAATAAACACACAAGAGGGAGCCTTCACAAAGGTTGCTTAGGAGAAGTCTCAGCAGTCGGTAGAGCCCCAGAAAGAGAAGGCACCGGAGGGGGATCATTTGGAGCCTCAGTACTGGACAGAACCCTAGAAGGAGGAGGCATCAGAGGTTGATCATTTGGAGCTTCATTACGCGGTACAGCCCCAGAAGACGAAGGCAATAAATGCCTTTGGAACAAACCCACAAATCTCTGATGATCAAGTAAAACCTGACCATCAGTTTCCTTCATCTGGTCAAGCTTCCTCTTCATGTTTGTAGCATAGTCATGTGCGAGCCGGTGCAACTGTTTATTCTCATGCTTGAGCCCTCTAATCTCCTGTTTGAGACTCATCACTTCAGCCGCCAATGATTCAACTTGGCGGGTTCGAGCAAATAGGCGTTGGGCCATATTAGACACAGAACCTGCACACTGAACACTGAGAGCCAGCGAATCCTTAACAGCTAACTCATCAGACCGTTTGGAAAGTAGTCTGTTATCTTTGGGAGTGAGAAGGTTCCTGGCCACCACCGCAGCGGTCATATCATTCTTCATCACGGAATCCCCAACGGTAAGAGGACCAGTAGGGGAGACGAAGGATGGGCGCCATATGTTGTCTGGAGAAGGCGGGGCTGCCTCTTCAACAAGGTTCAAGTCAAAACGACGGTCGGAGGGGCCAGACATTTTCAAAGGTGTTGAAGAGAGAAGAGGTCGGACAAATCAAGATCTTAGAAGTGCAAGAATGAAGCTTCTACTGGTGGAGATTCAAGTGTGCTTTGGAACTTAATGCCAGCCCCTATAAAAAATCTGCACTCGACGGAGCTTCAGAAATCGAAGAGGCGCCTGCTCAGAAATCGAAGAGGCGTTTGCTTTCTCAAAAGCTGGGCTGCTTAGAGATCACGAGGGTTGATCTCAGAAATCGAAGAGGCGTTTGCTTTCTCAAAAGTTGGGCTGCTCAAAGACCACGAAGGCCGATCTCAGAAATCGAAGAGGCGCTCGCTTTCTCAAAAGCTGGGCTCCCCAGAGACCACGAGGGCCGATCTCAGAAATCGAAGAGGCACCTACTTTTCCAGCCTTTTCCAGCCTTGTCAGCACCTGTCACACGCACACTCAGCTTTGCGGAAATTATGGGCATTCTGTCAAAGACTTCTGGGGAAGTAGAAAACACATGAATCTTACTGTTCAATCACCCACTTCCCACACGCAACAATAGCTCATGGGTACCACAGATAACTTTGCCAAAGTTCTCTGCCAAAGTTGAGCACGTGAAGCTTGCAGCTCCCACTACATCGCTCTGACCAAGAAGGGTAAAAGAATAGCAAAGAAACAGCACTAACAAAGTTTAGACCCATAAATTTTGAAGGTCTAGCTACCATATTATTACCCACAAGGGTAAAGGAACAGTACCACTGCTGGATAATTGGAAAGTCCCTGTGTGTCAACCTCTGTGCTTCGTGGCAAGGTAGACTAGCAAACATGCCCAACCTTTACTCACATTCGAGAAAACACTCCCAATAAGATTGCTTGCTCCAAAATCGAAGAGGCACCGTCCTCCGAATCTCGAGAGCCAGACTCCCAACATGACTACTTTCTTAAAAATCGAAGAGAGGGTAAAGGAACAGTACCATTGCTGGATAATTGGAAAGTCCCTGTGTGTCAACCTCTGTGCTTCGTGGCAAGGTAGACTAGCAAACATGCCCAACCTTTACTCACATTCGAGAAAACACTCCCAACAAGATTGCTTGCTCCAAAATCGAAGAGGCACCGCCCTCCGAATCTCGAGAGCCAGACTCCCAACATGATTACTTTCTCAAAAATCGAAGAGACACTGCTCCCCGAATCTCGAGAGCCAGACCCCCAGCATGATTGCTTTCTCAAAAATCGATGAGGCATCGTTCTCCGAATCAATCGAAGAGGCGCTCGCTTTCTCAAAAGCTGGGCTGCTCAGAGACCACGAGGGCCGATCTCAGAAATCGAAGAGGCACCTACTTTTCTAGCCTTGTCAGCACCTGTCACACGCACACTCAGCTTTGCAGAAATTATGGGCATTCTGTCGAAGACTTCTGGTGAAGTAGAAAGCACATGAATCTTACTGTTCAATCACCCACTTCCCACACGCAACAATAGCTCATGGGTACCACAGATAACTTTGCCAAAGTTCTCTGCCAAAGTTGAGCACGTGAAGCTTGCAGCTCCCACTACATCGCTCTGACCAAGAAAGGTAAAAGAATAGCAAAGAAACAGCACTAACAAAGTTTAGACACATAAATTTTGAAGGTCTAGCTACCATATTATTACCCACAAGGGTAAAGGAACAGTACCACTGCTGGATAATTGGAAAGTCCCTGTGTGTGTCAACCTCTGTGCTTCGTGGCAAGGTAGACTAGCAAACATGCCCAACCTTTACTCACATTCGAGAGAAAACACTCCCAACAAGATTGCTTGCTCCAAAATCGAAGAGGCACCGTCCTCCGAATCTCGAGAGCCAGACTCCCAACATGACTACTTTCTCAAAATCGAAGAGAGGGTAAAGGAACAGTACCATTGCTGGATAATTGGAAAGTCCCTGTGTGTCAACCTTTGTGCTTCGTGGCAAGGTAGACTAGCAAACATGCCCAACCTTTACTCACATTCGAGACAACACTCCCAACAAGATTGCTTGCTCCAAAATCGAAGAGGCACCGCCCTCCGAATCTCGAGAGCCAGACTCCCAACATGATTACTTCCTCAAAAATCGAAGAGACACTGCTCTCCGAATCTCGAGAGCCAGACCCCCAGCATGATTGCTTTCTCAAAAATCGAAGAGGCATCGTTCTCCGAATCTCGAGAGCCAGATACCACAGACCACTTTTTCAAAGTGCTCTGACAGAGTTAAAACATGTGAAACTGGCAGCTCCCACTACCGTGCTATGACCAAGCAGGGTAAAGGAATAGCATTACTACTTGTTGTTAGGGAGACTCCTATATATGTCGACCTCCATCCCCAACGGACAGGCAGACCTGCAAAAAATGCTCAACCCTTCATCATATCTGAGAGGGCACTCCCAACGAAGCCTTTCGAAATATTCAGCTTTCTTTCCCCCCGATAATACCTCTGCAAACAAGCTATACTAGAGCAAGAATATCTCATATCATCAGGGTTAAAAGCAAGAGTATCCCATATCATGCTTTTTCCCTGTCTTTTCCTTTTGGCCTTGTTTTTACCTGCAAGACAAGGAGAAAGAGAGCAATCAGTCAGCACTTGGAATCAAGCTTCCAGCCAGGAACTGACTGCCTGGAACCCCTTACCTGATTACTTACCTGGCATTGCTCTCGAGTACTCATCTTCAACATCTTATGTTTCCAGGGAAGATTCCGCATCTGCTTGAGGAACAGATAGGGCAAGTGCGAAGGATACAAGGAAGCATGTGGAGACAAGCGTAACAGCACACGTGCCGATACATCCATTACTCTGTCAAAAGCAAAAGTATCCCATATCAGCAGGGTGGAACGTACTCTAGATTTGATGGACTTGTTTTGACCCTCAAATTCTTCAGTCGGCCTTATACTCTGGAGGAAACCAGAAAACCCTCCAGCTCAGTTCAAGAATAAGCCTGTGGAAAGTTACTTCTTCAAAAGCAAAAGTATCTCATATCATCTCTTCTCATTTTTCTTCTCTTTATCCTTCATGCTGCTGCAAGATGGGGAGAAGGTGAACAATCAGTCGGAGCTCTGATTGCTTACCTTGTCTGTCACCTCTTTCAGCAGACCCCCTAGCTCGGCGACTTGGGGGACTCCTACTACATGGTTTGTATCGCGCTTGACCAAGCCTGAAACTACAAGTAAGCTTCAAGTGAAATTGATACATTACCTTGTGCATCTCCACCAGTTAAAGATACCACCCCTGGATGGAGGAAGAGTACTTCCAGAGAAGATGCCACATCTACCTATGAGACAGATAAGGCAAGTCAAGACGACACCACACTCCGATACTTAGAAGTTTCGTGATTACGAGATCATTCTCCCACAATATTTCCTAATGTCATTTGTACTAAATCATTCACTTGTACTCACTAAAGGAGAGCTTGAACCTATGTACTTGTGTAAACCCTTCACAATTAATGAGAACTCTTCTATTCCGTGGACGTAGCCAATCTGGGTGAACCACGTACATCTTGTGTTTGCTTTCCTATCTCTATCCATTTATATACTTATCCACACTAATGACCGGAGCAATCTAGCGAAGATCACAAAAAGCGACCGTTTTCGCTACCTAGGATCTATCTTGCAAGAGAACGGAGAATTAGATGGAGATCTCAACCATAGAATACGAGCTGGATGGAAAGAGTGCATCCGGCGTGTTGTGTGACCGTCGTAGGCCACTGAAGCTCAAGGGAAAATTTTATAGGACGGCAATAAGGCCAGCGATGTTGTATGGCACAGAATGTTGGGTGGTGAAGCATCAACACGTACACAAAATGGGGTGTAGCGGAGATGAGGATGCTTCGTGGGATGTGTGGGCACACGAGAAAGGATAAGATTGGGAATGAGGATATCCGAGGTAAAGTAGGAGTAGCCGAAATTGTAGGAAAGATGAGAGAAAATCGGCTCCGGTGATTTTGAACATGTGCAAAGAAGGCCGACTGACGCTCCGGTTCGAAGATGTGACTACGGGACAGAGGTTCAGGGCCGAAGGGGTAGAGGAAGACCTAGGACAACTTTGGAAGAGACTCTAAGAAAAGACTTAGAGTACTTGGATCTAACGGAGGACATGACACAAAACCGAGCGCAATGGCGTTCTAGGATTCATATAGCCGACCCCACTTAGTGGGAAAAGGCTTTGTTGTTGTTGTTGTTGTTGAACTCCCAAATTAAGTTGGGAACTGATCACTTTGGAGCCCATGAAGCTCAACGTGCTCATAACTCTGAAAAAAGGTGGTAGTCACAACTATTTTTTTTTTAATTTTATTTTTATGGTAGTTGTGACTATATATGAATATGAGCAATTGATCAAGTTAATTACTGCCTGTGTGGCTCAAATTCATATAGTCGTGTTGCATAATCTTTTGTCTGGCAAGAACATATTACTCTTTATTTATAAACTATGTTATTATTTAGACACAAAACTGACCATTGCAGATACAATCTCTAATATAGGTTCTATCAATATGCTTAGGATCCAGCTGTATTATATTAGACAGTGTCATTAATCGTGTCAATTTCTTGTGTCTACATAATGTCACTCTTTAGTTATGCTTGTACAAAATATACGTAAACTTTCACCATACATACTTTAATATTTACTCAGCCTCGTTATTTTCGTGTGTGTGTGTATTTACAGACTATTGTGAAGAGCTCATGAACATGTCCTTGAAGCGGCTAGACCAATCCCTATTAGCACTCAAAAGTTCTCCAAGAAAATACAAGCATGACATCCAAACATGGCTCAGTGCTGCCATGACTTTCCAGGAAACTTGCAAAGACTACGCTGCTGATCATCAAGCAGAATATTTCTCAGATCGGCAAACGTATAGCCGATGCCTCTGAGTCGGTAAGTAACCTACTAGCTCTTGTCAACCGTATATCAAATCACCATATTAATGCAGAAACTGAGAAACAAGGAGTGTTTCCCAAATGGATATCACCCAGGGACCGGAAACTACTTCAGGCAACCACCATAAAAGCCAATGCCGTTGTCGCTAAAGATGGATCCGGCGACTATAAAACTGTATCAGAAGCCATTGGCGCAGCTTCCGGGGGTCGGTTTGTGATTCATGTAAAGGCGGGAGTTTATGAGGAGAAGATTCGCACTAACAAAGATGGTATTACGTTGATAGGAGAGGGAAAAGATTCCACTATTATTACTGGGGATTTTAGCGTTGCTAATGGTGCCACCATGCCTGGCTCAGCTACATTCAGTTCGTACTCTTTCTCTCTCTCTCTCCCTCTTCGCCAAATGTTATGACAATGTTTCGTTTTGTTTAGATACTAATCAGATATATATACACACACACACACACGCACACACTAATACGTATACTGATATTTGAATTTTTTTTTGAAATGACGATCTTGTTCTTGGATTTCATGGGCAGCCATAACAGGAGATGGGTTCATTGCTAGGGATATAGGGTTCCAAAACACAGCAGGCCCTCAAGGAGAACAAGCCTTGGCTCTCTACATCGCTTCTGATCACTCAGTTCTCTACAGATGCAGCATTGTTGGGTACCAAGACACTCTCTATGCACTCGCCTTCCGTCAATTCTACATAGAATGTGACATCTACGGCACCATAGACTTCATCTTTGGCAACGCCGCTGCCGTTTTACAGAGTTGCAACCTGGTGCTTCGCAAGAACAAGGGCTACAATGCAATCCTGGCAAACGGGAGGACCGACCCTGGACAAAAAACCGGATTCTCGGTCCAAAACTGTAGGATCGTACCCAGCTTGGACTTCTCTCTGGTTAAGCACTCCTATAGTGTTGTGCTAGGATAGCACCAAACCCGTTGGAACCAACTCAAGCTAACCCACAGGAAATTTACCAAATGAAATGCAAGAACAAAATATTAAAGAACACCAAGATTTTAACGAGGTTCCTCAACAGTCAGTGTAACTGGAGTACATCCTCGAAGCAGTAGGAGCTCACCCAATAATCCACTATCAACCGAATGGGAGTTTACAAAGTGTTGGCAATCTCACAACCTAAAACCCCAATACACCCAATAACTCTCACTCACCAAAGAAACAAATAGAGAAGAAAATATAGTGAATAATTTCCTCTCTATACAAAGCTCAAAGCTAATACACAAATACAACTTTGATTGAGTGAGTACCAACGGTCGTACCCAGTGCACAAGGCTCCCGCTTTACGCAGGGTCTGGAAGAGGTGAATGTCGGCTAGCCTTACCCCCATTTATGGAGAGACTGCTCCCAAGTCTCGAACCCGATACCTACCGCTCATGGGCGAAGGCACTTGCCATCGCACCAAGTGCGACCTCATCAAAGAAAGAAAATCACATTTCTTTCTTCTCTTTCTGCTCTTAGTTTTCTGCTCTCTGCAGCTCTCTTTGCTCTCTCAAAGATGGGCTACTAAAACAGAAAAATGGTGCACTCTTCCTCTATCTTTCTCACTTCCGTATGCTCACTTCATCAATACAAAAGCACCCAATAAAAAATTCAAAAACATCATCCTGACCTTCAATTTTTCTTTTCAACAAACATAATCATGATGCCTCCTCATCATGATGTCTTTCACCTTTTTTTTCTTTTGGTTTGTTTATTAGCCGAAAGTTGTTTTGTTTTGTTGTCCACTTGGCCACTTATTCAACAATCTCCACCTTGGCCAAGTTCCGAAAAACGCCATGATAAGCCAACCAACACAATTAACACACAACATCACTCCCAAACACTAGCAAGAGAACAACTCATGCCGAGTCAAATGCTCCAAAACTCCTACTGCTCAACACCTTCTTTATATAGGCATAATGTGAGCCAAGTTCAAACAGTGAACAAACTTGGCTACACCAACAACCTTAGTCAACATATCAGCGGGGTTGTCTTTAGTTGGAATCTTCTGGAGAATGATTTATCATTCACCAACAATTTCACGAACAAAGTGATAACGCACATCTATTTGCTTGGTCCTCGCATGATGAACCTGATACTTAGCCAAATAAATGGCACTCTGACTATCACAATGTACCTCCACATGCTTCTGATCAACCCCTAAATCTCTAATCAGCTCATGTATCCAAATGACCTCCTTTATAGCTTCAGCAACTGCCATATATTCAGCCTCTGTAGTAGACAAGGCAACAGACGACTGCAAAATGGACCTCCAACAAACTGGTCCTTTAGCCATAGTAAACACATAGCCTGTAGTAGACTTCCTTCCATCCAGATCACCTGCATAATCTGAATCAACATAACCAACTGCAAAATGACCAATACCAGAGTCATCCCTCTCAAAGCATAAACCAACATCTCGAGTACCATGGAGATACCTCAATATCCACTTAGCTGATTGCCAATGCTCTTTACCTGGATTATGCATATATCGACTCACCATGCCAACTGCATGAGCAATATCCGGTCTAGAGCATACCATTGCATACATCAAACTACCAACCAAATTTGCATATGGTATATTTTTCATTTGTAGCTTCTCTTTATCAGTTTTAGGACACTGTAGAGAACTCAATTTAAAATGAGGAGCCAAAGGGGTACTAACCGGTTTGGTTGAATCATGAACTCCAAACTTCCGAATCAACTTCTCAAGGTATTGTCTTTGATTCAAACTGACCAAACCCTTCTCTCTATTTCTAGTGATCTCCATGCCAAGGATCTTCTTTGCTTATATCATCAACATATATCAATAAATAAATGAAAGACCCATCTTGCAACTTCTTGAAGTACACACAATGATCATATTGACTTCTAGAATAATTTTGGCCTCTCATAAATTTATCAAACCTCAAATACCATTGCCTTGGAGATTGCTTCAAGGCATAAAGTGATTTCTTCAATTTGCAAAACAAATTTTCCTTCCCTTTCACTATATACCCATCTGGTTGACACATATAGATCTCTTCATTCAAATCACCATGTAGGAAAGTCGTCTTCACATCGAGTTGCACAAGCTCAAGATCATATTGTGCAACAAGAGCTAACATAATACGAATTGAGGAGTGCTTTACAACCGGAGAAAATATTTCATTGTAGTCAATGCCCTCGTTTTGTGCATACCCTTTAGCAACTAATCTTGCTTTAAATCTTACATTGCTTTTCTCATCAGCATCTTCCTTCTTGGCATACACCCATTTGCAACCGATAACTTTCTTGCCCTTAGGCAATTTAGCTAACTCCCAAGTCTTGTTCTTCAAGAGAGAATTCATCTCATCACCCATGACATTGCACCACCTCTTCTTCTCCTCACTCTCAATGACTTCCTCGAAATTGGATGGAATATCATCAATGATATTAGGAAGAGCAAAAGCAACATAGTCACTATACCGAACTGGCTTGGTAATTTGTCTCTTTCCTCTGTTCTTTGCAATAGACTCTTGAGGTGAAACTTCCTCTTCAACTTGAATAGAATCTTCAAGTTCAACTTCTTCAACATCCTCATGGTCTCCAACTTCTTCACTTGTAGTGGCATCGACATCAGCGGAAATAGGATTTGAAGTACCAGAGGCAACTTTCTCAAGCTCCACCTGTTGGACATCTTTCACATTCTTCTCAGAGTCCTTGAACATACTTTCTTCATCAAATGTCACATCTCTACTGATTACAAGTTTTTTCATCTCTGGGCACCACAACCTGTAACCTTTGACACCACTACTAAAACCAAGAAAGATAGCCTTTTTGGCTCTAGGATCAAGTTTATTTTCAGTCACATGAAAATAAGCAGGTGAACCAAAAATACGGATATAGTCATAATCAGAAGAAGGTTTTCCAGTCCATACCTCCATTGGTGTCTTACCCTGAACAGCAGCTGAGGGTAACCGGTTGATGATGTGACATGCATAATTAACTGCTTCTGCCCAAAATGACTTGCTTAAACCCGACTGAGACAACATACATCTAACCTTTTCAAGCAAGGTTCGATTCAATCTTTCTGCAACTCCATTTTGTTGTGGAGTTCCCCGAACACTAAAATGTCTCACAATTCCTTCCTCTTTGCAAACTTTAAAGAAAGGGTCGGATGTGTATTCACCACCATTATCCGATCTCAAAATCTTAATCTTTCTCCCAGTCTGGTTCTCAACCATTTTCTTCCAACCCAAGAAAATGCTTAACACCTCACTCTTGTGCTTCATAGTGTAGACCTAAGACCTTCTTGAATAATCATCAACAAAGGTCACGAACCAATGTCTACCACTCAAAGAGGGAGTCTTTGTAGGACCCCAAACATCCGAATGCACATAATCAAGAATGCCCTTCGTCTGATGTACAGCAGTACCAAACTTCACTCTAGTTTGCTTCCCCAAGACACAATGCTCGCAGAAATCAAGCTTACAAGTCGTGGCACATTTTAAAAGACATTTTTTCACAAGCCCTTGTAGAGCTTTCTCACCGGCATGGCCTAATCTCATATGCCACAGTCTAGTAGTATCTGAATCAGATGTGCCCATATTTTCAGAGACTACAGATGCTTCACTTGTCACAATGCTTCCCTGCAATAAATACAAATGGCCACATCGAGGAGCTTTCATCACAACAAGTGCACCATAAGTAACTTTCAATGTCTGTCCATCTGAATGAAACATGAAGCCCTTGGATTCCAAAGTACCTAAAGAAATAAGATTTTTCTTCAAATTCGGTACATACCGAACACCTGTCAACTCTTTAACCATGCCATCATGCAACTTTAAACGAACTGTACCAATCCCTTTTGTTGTGCAAGGATTGTCATCTCCCATGAACACAACACCACCATCAAACTCTTTCAAGCTTGAAAACCAATCCTTGTGAGGAGTCATATGATGAGTACAACCCGTATCCAACACCTATTTAGTAGAACAATCAAATGATGAGGAAGTGGTTAAAGCAAAATCAAAAACATCTGTTTCAACCTCAGCAACATTGGCTTTAGAACTTTCTTTTCCTTTGGTCTTCAACTTAGGACAATCTTTCTTCCAATGACCCTTATTATGACAAAAGGCACATTCATCCCTTTCCAAAGGTTTTCTACCTTTAGAGTTTCCTCTAGGTCGAGACTGTGATTTTTTCCTGCTAGAAGATGACCTCCTCTCCGATGATCTACCTCTAACAAATAAAGCTTCAGAGGTACTATCATAATTTTTATCTCTATGCCTCATTTCATAATTCATCAAGGCATTTGACACATCTTCAAATTTCACAGTTTCTTTACCATGCATAATAGTGGTAACAAAATGCTCATAAGAGTCCGGCAAGGAATTCAACAATATTAAGGCCTTATCTTCATCCTTAATATCCTCATCTAAATTTACAAGTCGGTAATCAACTTATTAAAAACATCAAGGTGTCTAATCATTTTTGTACCTTCTTTGTATTGAAAGCGGTAGAGCTTTTTCTTCAAGTGTAGCCGATTCTCTGCACTCTTCATCATATACTTGTCTTCCAATTTTTGCCACAACACACTTGCTACCGTCTCCCGCATCACAAAATACTTCTGAGTTTTTGCAAGGCACAACCGAATTGAAGAGCAAGCCCACAAATTTAATTTCTCCCATTCCGGCTTCGACATAACTTCCGGCTTCTCTCCCAAAGCGGCAAGTAGATCTTGTTGAGCCAACACATCTTTGACCTCACATTGCCACATCTCGAAGTTGTTTGTGCCATCAAACTTTTCCACTTCGAACTTTGCATTTTGCACCGTAGTTCTTGCAAACCCGGAGCTGCTTCCAAAAGGATTTTCATCTTGCCCGTCTGACATCTTTGGCAACTAGATAGTACCCAAGAGCAACCAGTGCTCTGATACCAATTGTTGTGCTAGGATAGCACCAAACCTGTTGGAACCAACTCAAGCTAACCCACAGGAAATTTACCAAATGAAATGCAAGAACAAAATATTAAAGAACACCAAGATTTTAACGAGGTTCCTCAACAGTCAGTGTAACTGGAGTACGTCCTCGGAGCAGTAGGAGCTCACCCAATAATCCACTATCAACCGAATGAGAGTTTACAAAGTGTTGGCAATCTCACAACCTAAAACCCTAATACACCCAGTAACTCTCACTCACTAAAGAAACAAATAGAGAGGGAAATATAGTGAATAATTTCCTCTCTATACAAAGCTCAAAGCTAATACAAATACAACTTTGATTGAGTGAGTACCAACTAAGAAAGAAAATCACCTTTCTTTCTTCTCTTTCTGCTCTCAGTTTTCTGCTCTCTGCAGCTCTCTTTGCTCTCTCAAAGATGGGCTACTAAAACAGAAAAATGGTGCACTCTTCCTCTATCTTTCTCACTTCCATATGCTCACTTCATCAATACAAAAGCACCCAATAAAAAATTCAAAAACATCATCATGACCTTCAATTTTTCTTTTCAACAAACATAATCATGATGCCTCCTCATCATGATGTCTTTCACCTTTTTTTCTTTTGGTTTGTTTATTAGCCGAAAGTTGTTTTGTTTTGTTGTCCACTTGGCCACTTGGCCACTTATTCAACATATAGTTCATATCTGGGGAGGCCGTGGAAGCAATACTCTAGAATCGTTGTCATAGAATCCAACATTGATGATGTCATTGCACCTAGTGGCTGGGTGGAGTGGCATGGGGCTGGGAGCTCCAGCCTTAGGACACTGTACTTTGCAAAGTACGCGAATGTGGGGCCGGGTTCTGGGGTGGGGAAAAGGGTCCAATGGCCTGGATTTCATGTTATAGGAGTTGACGAGGCTGTTGAATTTACTGTTACAAATTTTATTGTTGGGACTTCATGGTTGCCTTCTACTGGAGTCACTTTTGTTTCTGGCCTACGTTGATTTGGATGAAAATGATGCAGCATCCATAGTCTATTATAATTGGCAGTCCATGCGTATTAGATCTGTAAAGCTTATTTAAGTTTGAAATATTGTCAAATTGGAATTTGTCAAGTTATTTTAGAAATTGTAACTTGAGGTGTATTAATTTGTAAAACCATTATAAATATTGTACTAGAAAGCCTCGAATGATAATTTGAGAAATAAAATTATATTTGCTTTGTGCAGTTGAAGTGAGTAAGGTTTTCTCCTTCTAAACAAGCATGTGTCTTAATCGTACGATTAGCGACGTCGAGTTAGAGAGGGAATGAGAGGGCTTCTATTAATTGTGAGCCCTTTAATAAGGAACATTAGAATTCCATCCTTCATTAGGGTTGCTTTGAGGAATGATAAGAGAACATAAAGCTCTCTCTTTCTCTCTAGGAGGCTGGCCACTAGGGAAGATGATTGCTAGATTTTCTTCTTCTTTAGTCACTCATCTTCTTTCCTAGATCATCCTTGGTGTTGGAACTTAGAGACCTCCAACTCTGGTGACTTGGAGAATCCATTCAAGCTTCAAAATCCTAGAATCCAAGGAGCAAATAAGTAATGAATAAAGGTTCTATCTCTTGGGAATGAAAAAAGAGTTCTTGAAAATGACACCAGAAGAATGCTCTGAATCAATAAAATACAATATGAAGTGAATGTGATTATTTCAAGCTTGTTTACATCTTGGAGTATCTAATTTGTTTGATTATAATTTGACTTTAGTTTGGTTATTTCAGATGTGTTTACATCTTGAAGTATTTACTTTGTTCGGTAATACGTTGACTTTGGTTTGAATGGTAGAAGAAGTAATGGGTTGGCATTTTGCCGTATTCCTTTTGATAATATATTAACTATGATTTCATGAGAATTCATACAAAACTCTTGAAATTCATGATCAAACTTTCTGAATTCTATAGGTCCATGCAAAGAATTCTCTGACAATTCATGTGAATTCTTTAGAAGTCATAATTAATTCACTCAAAATTCCTAAGAATTGATTTTTTTTTTCTTCTCAATCTCTCAAATTTCCCTGAAATTAAATTCTCTCAAAATTCAAATCGAATACCATTACAAAAAGAAAATTTCAAGTAAAACAAACAGGTAGATTCTCGAAGAAATAATATTATAGTGGCTACAAACCTTGCTGGTGTGTCTGAGTCCTTGAAAAGCTGCTCACCCCAATCACCATAAAAAACCCTAGTCCCTGCCATGAAGCGTAGTGAAACGGTCCCAGCCAACCCACAAATCAAAGGGTTTACCTTAAACTCCCTAACCAAAGCCTCACATTGGAGCTCAATTATCCGCTGCACTCTCATCACATACCTAAAACTAATCTCTGTGTAATAGTCCTCCACGCTTAACTTTTTGAGTGCAGACCTATCAGCGCGGTTGCTGGTGTTACGGGTAGAGTATAGGCCCTTATTTGAATTACCATCGTTATCACAATAGTCGTCGTCCATTCTGCCGGTGTCTGTGAAATCGTCTCGAACTGTTTTGAGTAGTAACTCCTACTCATTATTTGAGTAGCCAAGTATTATTCTTTTGTTGTACCCTATTAGGATAAATTTTTGGCTCCGTCATTGACCACAAGTATGCTGAACTCTCTCAAAAACTCAATTTATGTATGACAAAACTCACATGAACTTATATGACTGAATGTAATTGACTCATGACTCAATGAGATAAGATCTTTATCTAGGTGTGGAAATGACTCTTCATAATATATAGTTGTGTCTTAAAGAGTCAACGATTGCATCTCTATTCATATTAAGACAAATGTTGCACAATTTCTCCTCAAACAATCAAATCTAGAGAGAGGGAGAAAGCTTAGTGAAGAAGAAAGTGTTTCTTTGTATTTGCTTCAATTCAATCGTATCTTATAAATGATCTCAATTCTTACACTTATACTCTGTAACTATCTTGCTTACACAATAATTAAGCTACTATAGCTAGTATAATTGACTTTAGCTAAAATAAATGCTGACATGTCATCCTTATCTCTAACCAATCCTATCAGCTATAATGTGGCACATGCCATATAATCCAACATCAAAACCTAATTCATGAATCATAACAACCCATCAATGTATTTAAACGATTTAACTCGTTTTGATTAAATTTTCCAACAGTATTAAAGAGATGGTCTATTGTTCTAAAAGCTAAAATGGATTTTCTTTTCTTCTTGTCAAATGATAGATTTTGCTAGATTAGCCACCGATAGATATTTGGCTACTCATATATTGGGCCGATTACACTAAAATCCTCAATTGTTTCGGTTTACGAAAGATGCATGCTTTCCTTCGTAGGTTCCTACCAATGACATTCTTATATCACATTCCATAAAATATAGAGAGGTCATATCCTAGGTTTTACTCATGGCTGGATGCTGCTTCCTTCATATCAAGCAATGCCTCTTCAAAGCATTTTGCGAGAAATGTTGGATCCGGAATGATATCTTTGGCCACCAAGATTTGCAGGTCAGCTCTTTCAGCATAGCTCACCATGTGCATTGTAAGTGCCTGCGTTACCAACCAGCAAAAGTATTCCAGTTACATTACAGATACTTCTGATTTGCTACATCTGGCATTTTCTAGAATGTAACATAACGCCCCATCACAACGTCATTCTATGATTTGAGCTACTCATTTCTAATTATGTCATTGTTCAAAGATCGATAGCGTATCCCTACTAATTGGTTAGCATCATATATATACCTGGGGTAGGCTGCATGTATTCACTTTAAGGTAAGTTACAAGGTTGCCCCCAATTGCAATTTCTTCTTGCGGGCCAAGTATATTTGAAATGGTAAAGCTAGTATTGCAGACCATCTTGTAAAGAAGCCAACTAGCAACCTGCAGCAGTAGAATGAAACTATTTTCTTTTTATATACATTTTTGAATATTGGGGCACATTTAGGAATGATTTGTAGGAAACACTGTTACTCATAACCATTTTTTGTCGAAGCGTTTATGTTAGAAGCACAACAGATTTTTCTTAAAAATACATGTTGATTACCTTTGCTCCAAAGTAGGTGATTAGAAAACATCCAACTTTGTACGAAAAATCAGCTTCTAGAGATTGTTTCTTCCTGTCAAGAACCAGCTTAGCTCTCTTGAGGTACACTAGAGGATCAAGATCACTGCTTTTATGGTAATAAATAGGTAGGAGAAACATGCCGAACTTGTTACCCCAGCTTGATTCAGAGTTGCTTTCCAAACACGAATTGGATACCTGATCATATTCATACAATCATTATCTCCAACCAACTACCATCAAATTGGATACCTGGTTATATTCGTGGGATGATAAGTGAAGAAAGTTGAGGTTTCACCAAAAACAAATTGGTAATATGGGGAGTAGTCCAATTATTCATGAGCACATGCAAGGTCCTTCTTCTCATCAATGTAGGATTCATTCTCAACACACCCCTCCTCACGTGTGGTGAATTTTCAAGCCTAACACGTGGACAACACAACGGGGTGATGTGAAGCACGTGTGGCCATTGAGCTTCACATATGAGACAACCTGCTCTGATACCATGAAGAAAGTTGAGGTTCCACCATAAAACCAATTGACAATATGGGAAGTAAACCAACTTATAAGCCCATGCAAGGTCCCTCATTCCATAAATGTGGGACTCATTCTCAACATGCCCCTTCACATGTGGCGAATTTTTAAGCCTAACACATGGACAACACAACGGGGTGACGTGGAGCGTGTGTGGCCGTTGGGCTTCATACGTGGGACAACCTGCTCTGATACGATGAAAAGGTTGAGGTTCCACCATAAAACCAATTGGCAATATGGGAGTAGCCCAACAACTTATAAGCACAAGCAATGTCCCTCATCTCATTAATGTGGGATTCATTCTCAACAATTAGGGTGCTTATCTAGGTTTTTGGGGTTGGGTTGAAAAACATGACAAATTAAGGGTTTATTTGATAACGATTTTGGCTTTAAGTTTTAGTTTTCATTTTGTGCTAGAGATAAGGGGCAAGTTTACGTGAGATTATGAGAGAGATAAAAAAGTGACAAAGGATGGCAGAAGATATATGTGACAAATATACAGAATGAAAACTAAAAGTCAAAAATTAAAAGCTGTTTAAAGTTGTTTTCAATTCCATAATTTTGTTTATTTATTTATTTTTCTGGGGGAAACTCCGCCGTGTAAGTTTATCTTACATTGCCAGTCCCAAGCCCGGATAAAGGAGGAGGGGGAGGACGTCAGGTAGTCGACAACCGACACTCCATGATTACGTCAAATCCTTATGAAAATGAATCCAGAACGAAATCGCGCTAAAACTAGGGCGTCACCCGTAAGTGGCGCGCTGTGTGGCCCGAGCACAGTGATAAGTGAGCAAGGGTCGCTGTATCTCCATCGGCACCCGGATGCAGTGTTAAATGAGCAAGGGGGCTATAGAAACTTCTTTTCGAACGACTCCACTCAAAGTTGTTTGGGAGCATATGCTCCTATCAACTTTACACGGGACACACAAAAGAAGTACTTTGATCCTATTAGACGGGGAAGGGTGAAGAAGCTAGGACAGAAGGGTAGAGTTCAAGAGAGCAAAATGCGTTTAGGAACGTGGAATATAGGAACCTTGACGGGAAAATCTATGGAAGTAGTAGAAGTTATGGTGAGGAGAAGGATAAATATTATGTGCCTACAAGAAACTAAGTGGGTTGGTAGTAAGGCAAAGGATCTAGAAAACTCAGGGTTTAAACTATGGTATTCGGGCACAAATAGAACGAGAAACGGTGTTGGCATCATCGTGGACAAGACCTTGACACAAGATGTTGTAGATGTCAAGAGGGTAGGAGATAGAATCATGGCAATCAAGATTGTAATAGGACAAGAACTTATCAATGTGATTAGTGCGTACGCACCTCAAGTAGGGTTGGATACGAGTTCGAAGGAGAAATTTTGGGAAGACCTTGGAGACTTGGTGCAAGGAATTGCTCAGACGGAGAAGTTA